TGGGCTGAATGTAAAGGTTATTTGAGAACCTTGTTAGGTATATTTTCTGATATATTTTGAATAGCGGGTAGAATATTTTAGGAGATATATTTCTATTAATTTTGAACATAAATATAAGCAGATGATATTTATTTGGTAGACATTCATTAATATTGAATTAAGAAATAATGCTTGGAAATGTGTAAAATGGTTCACATTTGAAATGATTTTGATGGCAGGCTTTTATTATTAAATAGTTTTTTTTATTTTATGGCTATTTGTACGAAGCAATGTATGAGTAATTAAGATGGCAATGAATGAATGAGAAATACAAAAGCTTTGAGCAAGTTGAATTTAAACTTTGCTCTACAAAGTAGGTTAATGTTCCTTGAGATTTTATTTTCAAAATAATGTATGCGATCTCTCGACGATACATTTTCATCAAGAAATTTTAATGTGATTCGCCGAGAAATTTTAATGTGATTCTTTTTTATGTCCGGATTGGCAATACGAATTTTTAGAAGTTTTAAAGGAATTTTATCTCTATCATAAAAACAATGGAAAAAAGTATACTTTGTTTTGGTTACATTTTAAGATTTTTTTTTCATTAAACCATTAAGCAAGATTTGACAGCTTTTGGTTTACTGACTTAAACAGAATATTTATATCATTATCTGCATAAAATAGATTTGTTTCATCTGCAAATAAAATTGTATCTAGTTCAGTACAAACTTTGCTTAAATCATTAATATAAATGAGAAATAGAAGTGATCCCAATACAGATCCTTAAAGAGCCCCACATTTTATATTTATATTGGTTGTTTTACCTTCATGGTTTTACCAGAAATGTATTATTTTCTATTTGACAAATAGCTTTTAAATCACGCAGTATTTATATATTTAATACCATAGTTTTCTAATTTTCTTAATAAAATTTAATGATCACCTGTGTCAAAAGCCTTACTGAGATCAATAAATACACCTAATGTATATTTGTTTTTATCAAATGATTTGAAGATATCATGAACAAGATGAACAATAACCTAACCAGTAGAGTTATAATAACCTAACCAGTAGTAACCAGACTCTTTTTTAAACCAAAATTGCTTACTATAGAGAATGTTATTTACATCTAAAAAAGTAATGCAATCTTTTATACATAATGTGTTCTTATTATTTTGAAAAGCATGATAGTATGGAGATAGGTCTGTAATTGGAAACACTAGACTCATCTCCTGATTTTAGTATAGGTATTACCCTTGCAACTTTAAGTTTATCGGGAAAGTTTCCTTGTTCTAAAGAGAGCTTAAATGTATACAAAAGCGGAATTTTTAAATAAGGCATTGATATATTTACTACATAACTGCTTACACCATCAACTCCATTACCTTACATAATCGACTCCATTATAGTTCACGGGATCAAGCAGTTCTGCTTCTGTTTGCATATTATTGTCAATTGTATTATCATTAAAGTTTAAATATGATTTGAAGTTTTACTTTTTTTTATTTTTGATGCTAAATTTGGATCTGTGCTAACAAATGCATGGTTAAACGAATTAGCAATTATTGCGTCGTTAATATATTTTCACAGTCATTTATAAATAGCTTTTTTGGTATCCAACTAATATTAAAATCTTTTCTACCTATAACCTCTTTCATTATGCTCCAAGTTTTTTTGTATATTGGGAATGCTTTATTGTTGTGACATTGAAATATATGAAGCTTATGATAAATAAATTTATCATGAGCTTTATTAACATTTTTAGTTTTCAAAACAAATTTCCAGTTTGTCGTCAATAAAAGGCTATTAAATGTCACAACAGAAGTGTCCTTAAATATTCGTTTTTTGATTTTAATTTTTTAAAAAAGTTGGTCTACCGATTTTTGTATTGTTATACATGTCTCTTATAATTATTACAGTTTAAAATTTTTATGTTTTTGAAATTGTCAATTTATAATTTGATCAATTAAAGTGGCACTATTTTTTATTATTCGAGTAGGTTTGTTTATAGTTGGAATAAATCCATTTTGGAACATAATATTAATAAATTTTCTAACGTCTTTGTTTTTGTCATATTCGAGCTAATCTAAATTCAGATTACCAAAGTAAACAAATTTGCCAAATTCTACTAAGTATTTAATTTGTTTGTTAAATGCTTTTTTATTAATCAGAAAGCGGTCTATATACTGTTGCGTTCTTGAAAGTTTTGTTTATAACCATAATGGATATTAATTCAAAATCATGCGTAATAGCAAAATATTCTTTGCGTAGTTTGAAATGTAAAAAGTTTTGAATTCACAATGCTCCACTTGTTTTTTCCAAGTCATTTAATTTGATAAAAAACTTTATAATTATTAAGTAGGGATGTACCGGAATTTTAGCCGGATTTTTTTTCTTATAGATCAATTCGCTTCTGGCTGGAATTAAAAAATAAAAATTTCTTTTTTTTTTTTATGAGATGTAACACAGACTGTGTAAATAATTCAAAAAATCATTATTCTACAGAGCAATGAAGAACTATAGGTAAACCTAGGTAAAAGATACAAATGTAATTTAATTTGCAGAAATAGTAGTACTGCAAATATATTTGCAAAAATTACATTTGTATTTTTTACCTCAGTTTATTTATAATTTTTCATTGCTCTGTGGGATAATGATTTTTTGATTTATTTACACAGCCTGCGTCACAAGTCATAAAGAAAAAAGTAAAAAAAAAAATAAGGTCCAGCCAGAAGCGAACTAATCTAAAAGACAAAAATTCCGGCTGGAATTTTAGTACATCCCTATTATTAAGTAGAAAATTAATATTGTTTCCAATTTCCTTATCACGGCACCATGTTCAGACATATAATTTGAAACTTATCACGGCACCATATTTCGTTCAGACATCTATTCAGAATTTTAAAGATAATTTTGACCCTAAACAAAAAATGTTTTAAATTCTAAAATTTTTTTTGGATGCTCCTAATATTAAGGTGTAGATAATGCAGTCAAATATATGTCAGCAGTAATACTTAAAAAATCCGGACTATAGCTTTCTTAATATCTAGGGTCTATATATTATCTTAATGTCTTTCTTAATATCTAGGGTCGTTATCTTGTTGGAAGATAAAATGCTTTCGTAATCGCAGTATTTTAGCTGAGGTGAGAAGATTCTTATTGAGAACCTTGTAAAGTCCAATGAAGCTCAAAAGTATGGAAAAAAAAACTGAAGCATTCACACTCAGTTGCATTCGAGAAACAGTAAAATTTAACGGAGTCTGGGGATTGATAGCGTAGAACAGGAAAACTATTCATGTTATTATGGTCAACAAGACCCTAGACATATACTAGTGAAAGCAAAAGAGTTTTGATTCTAGAAGCAAGCTGATTCACTTTAGTGGCGAGCTCGAAGTCCAGATCTCAATCCAATCGAACACTTCTGGGCTATCCTGGATCAAAAGTGTGGCGCACGATGTCTAAAAGGAAAGAAGAGCTAAAGATCGATTTAGATACGACAAAGAAATTACTTGAACCAATGCCACGTCGACTTGTAAAAGCCAAAGGCAACTTATCAAATGCGAAAAAATTGCAGATTTTAATTTTTTAGCAATTATATTTGAAATTTTTTTTTGCTTATTGAATTCTTAATTAGGTTTTCTTTAGAATAACCAGTGGGTTTTTTTTTATTATTTATTTTTCTGAAATAACCTGTCAAACTTTTTATAAAATGTTTTTGTTCGGATACTTATTTCTCTGAATGTATCCAAAATATTGAAAAAAACATATCCTTGCGTGTAATGTCGATAACCCCTGAAGTGATTAAAATGGTTTTACCTATTTTTTTTTCTAAGCAAAGCTGATATTTTTATTGCTTTGAGTACTAATAACTTTACAATGTAACAGTTACATATTGTTTAGTTTTTAAATATTGTAAATAAGAATGATCTAAAGGTGAGTTTCCACTCATCCGTTTTTCTACGGGAAAGGGAAAAATGAACGGAAAAATAATCACGTGAGCATGCGCAGTTTTCTTTCGGACAAATAAAAACTTTTATTACGCATGCTCACGTGATTATTTATTCCTTTCCTATCCCGTTCCCGTTGAAAAACGGATGAGTGGAAACTCGCCATAATAAAGGTTGTAAAACTTCCTATGCGCTTGGTTACTAAAGTTTTTAGGGGACTTCTTATTACACAACATTGATGTTCAGACATCAAATTGAATATTCAACTACTCTCGAAGTATAGCATCTTAAGACTAGCCAAAGTTTAGATGTTTAATACAGTCTCTATGAAAATACAAAATACAGTATTAAAGTACGTTTTAGGGAGAAATATAACAAGCGTTTTAGGTTGTTTTTTTCTCAGGCCTTTTTTCAAGGCAAACTGCCTTGAATATCTCAGTAAACTTCTTTAAAATAAGTATTTATCAATAGACATTGTTTTATCACAAACACATGGATTGTATTTTATGCAGGCCCAAGTTTTGCAGCGTGTTTCACTGCGACATATACTGCCTGGCTCTTTCAGAGTAAAAATGACTTGATTACATATGGCAATTTAGACGCAAATTCGGGTGGTATGAATACAAAGTAAACTTGCCTTCACAAATAACTCAAATACTTTAATTTAAATTTGACAATTAAAATTCTTGCCACGATCTGATTAGCTATTTAAAAAAACCATGCACATTTATCACTGCGTACCAACTGGCGCAGTGCTAATACGTGCATAATCCAGCCATAGATTGGTGCATAAATATGTATTTTAAAGCAGTTTACTGAGTTATTCAAGGCAATGTATGATGCATTTGTGTGCGCGATCAAACTACTAAAGAGATAAAACTTTAAAAAAAAAAAAATTAAATCAGTAAAAAAAAAATTTTATTTTATAAATACAAAACTTAAAGAAAACCCCCCTAACAATATAAGAATGTCGCAAACATCGACAAGAATGACGGAAATAAATTTTTTAGAAAAGAAATAAAAAATTAAATGGGCATCTTAAAGATGAAACATCGAAAACAGTCGACTAGGTAACGTGAGCAATGGAAATAAATTATTTCGTGAAAAAATATATAAAAAATCAATTGTTCGACTTCTTTCCGTTAATCGTCTTTTTTAAATTCTTTGTTCGATGATTCTGAAGTTATATGGTCAATTGCAGCCTTTTTAACTTCTTTTTCAGCTAAAAAAATAAATAATAATAAATACATGAAAATGTAGATTCAAGTAATGACTAACTTTACGTCTACGCGCATGTAGAGAGCACCGGCGCAAAATGCCGATTACGCAAATTAAGATTTTTTTTTTTTTGTAAAATTTCAAAATACTTTTTGTACATAGTTATACAAAAAAATTGTATAACTATATACAAACAATAAATGCAACTTTTTAAACTTTTATATATATATATATATATATATATATATATATATATATATATATATATATATATATATATATATATATATATATATATATATATATATATATATATATATATATATATATACACTGGACACTTCGTGTCCAAATATAAAAAAAAAAAAAACTTTTTAACCATTAACTCTTCATCCAACTTTTATCCATAAACTTTTTAACAAAATGCATTATTTAATTTTGTAACTGTTTATATCAAACTGTGTTTATTATTTTTCCATAAATAATTCTTTTTAAACAAAATTGTTGCCATTAGCATAGCTAATTTTAACATAAGTCATTTTTAATTTTTTTGTTGTTGTTGGTCAAAGTGTTCTAATAAACTTAGATTTTCTTACATTTTTCCTAATGTTTGAATTAAATAGTACTTGACTGTAGCGTAGTTGGAAGTGAATTGAATTAAAAAAACAAAAACTATAAAACAAACAAAACGTGTATATAGCATGAACAAACCTTTTCCGTAAAAATCCTTAACAGCAGCAGTGCTTTTCCTTAAAAGTGTGTCAACCTCTTTCTCATGTTGGATTACAAACGGCGCAATAAAACGGGAATAAATAAAATGAGCACCATTCCATGAAAAAGGAGCCATACACCAACAAAGAAAAATACACTGTAAATAAATAAAAATCAAATTAGAAAATAAAAGTAAATTAAAAAAGTCAAATAATTTGAAAACAATTCCAATTGTAATGATTAGAATCCAATGTTTCAAACACTTTTAAAATTAATTTTATTATTATCTAATGATAAAACAAGAAAAACAGGATTCTATATATAAAACATAATGTCAAAAAATTTTCCAATTAAAACTAATAAAAAAGAGAGAAATTATAGCATGTAAATTTAAGAAGAAAAAAGAGGGATAGTTTGGGAGACTATTTGCTATAGTCATTTTCATTATTATCTGTGAAAAATAAAAATTAACAATTAAGATAATTATACTAAAAATTAAGATAATTATACCTATTAAATGAATTTAAACAGTTAAGGTAATAAAAAATCTTTATCTTGATAGTATGTCAAAGGAATGCTGATTGTTATGCAATACAATTACTCTAGGTTATGGTGGTTTTAAATTAGTACACACACTGTGTTGGTGATTTTTAAATATAAATGGTTTTTATACTAATAACTTTTCGTAATAATGGACTAGGTCAGACAATCGATTGATCTGGCCTAGAATCTGGTCCATTGTCATGACTGTATGATTCTAAGGTATCAGTAGATGGTAATTAACGTATTGTTATTTTATAATCTATTTTATTTTATGTTAGAATAAAAATAAAAAAAGGAAACATAGTCTGCAAAAAAAAACATAATAATAACTTTAATAGTTCTATTTTATGGAGTAAACAAATAAAAACCCTTATAAATCATACAAAAATACAATAGTATAACAGGGTTGCCACTATAATTTTTAAAGTTTTTCCCGAGTTTTCCCTGAGTAAAGAACGCTTTTCCCTGAGTTAAACTCTTTAAGTTCCCTGAGTTCTCCCTGACTTTTCTATATTCCTTCCACGACAAGATTATTATTTTCCTTAATTAAACACAATCAAACACAAAAACACTCCCATCTTGCAAACTTATTATTGTATGTATTAGCAAAATATTTTTGAACAAAAAAAATTATTGTACAAAATTTAAAAAAAAAAGAATTTCCCTGAGTTTTCCCTGAATTTTATAAAAAATTTAAAAAATCCCTGAGTTTTCCAGGTTTTCCCTGAAATTCATGCTATTTCCAGGTATTCCAGGTTTTCCAGGTTGAGTGGCAACCCTGTATAACATAAGTATAATATAAGTATAATATAAGTTTTATATCATGACTTCAAAAAAAAAAAATGCACCCCCCCCCCACCTCTTTTTGATATTTAAAGAAAGATTAAATAGCATTACAAAGTTTTAATAACTGATAAAATAATGAGGTTTCAGCTAAAATAAAGGTATTTTAGATTAGTTAACCCCTTAACCCTTAGCCAAGTAGACAATAGTTCAGCATCAGTTTAATTTTTAGAAGATATAAGCAATAAGCAGAGCAAACAAAAATGATCAGAAGTAACCTTTATATTTCACAAATAACATAACTAAATTCATTACAAAATGGGCCTTTATACTATTTAAAATCAATATCCTAAAACAGCATGATTTTTCTCAAAGAAAAGCATAACACATAATCCAACATTACATGTGGTACAAAAATAAAACATTAGACATCAACACCAGACATCTTTTTAATTAACACCAGACATCTTTTTGTAGCATCTTTGTGTGCAGTAGGTCGTATAATACTTGGGTAATGGTTAGAGCTAATAGTTAAAATGGTTTTCAAAAAGTTTTGTGTATATTTTGCCATTAACAACTAAGATTTAATGGTTGTATGATTTTAAGGTGTTTAACATTCTTTATTACTTTATCACCACTAATCTGTTACTATAACCACTAGTCTATTAGTATTACCACTAATCTATTAGTATAACCACTAGTCTATTACTATTACCACTAATCTGTTACTATAACCAGTAGTCTATTACTATTACCACTAATCTGTTACTATAACCAGTAGTCTATTACCAAATAAAAATTTAAGATTTGAAGGTTTTTAATCATTTTTTTTTTTTAATATATAATTTGATCTGATTATATTTAATAATTTAAAAAAGTTTATTCGCTCAAATTATAAATTATAATTAGATATTTTATTTTATCTCTTAAATGACCTAAAAACATATATTTTTTTTTGTGCTTTTAAAAAATACGCTTTACTTCTTAATTAAGCAAAAATGCACAAAATTAATTAATTAATATGTCAATATAATTAAATGATTATAATTAAAACTTAAAAATAAAATACTTTAACTTTATATTAATGTGGGTTTCATAAAACAATACTTTAATAGTGAAACTTACTTTTAATAAGAAATACAATGGAAACCACGATAGAAAAATATCAGAGAAGTATTCGACAATGCTAAAAGCTGCATATACAACCCAATATGTCAACCATTGTGTATCATCGTCTTTATTAACACTCTCTACAGCTTTGACTCTGAAACAAAAAATATTTACCTAATATTAATTTAACCTGGTTATATAATATTTATTAAATTACTAATATAATATTTCCTAGGGTTCATTATCGAAATTACAATTTTCGAAAATTTTCGATTAAAACGTTATTGAAATACTTCTTTTTTTTCGAAATCTAAAAAAAACTTTCGAAAATAATTAAACTAGCCATATTAATTTCGAAAAAAAAAGTAATTTCAAAAAAAAAAAAAATTTTGAATTGTGCAATTAATTTCGAAAATGAAATTATATTTCGAAAAGTTTAATTTATTTAAAAAAAAAATTTTTTTTTTTAGAAAGTTAAATTTATTCCAAACAAAATAATGTCGAATTAACGCTATGAATCTTAAAAGCATAACTTATTAATGCAATTTTAATACCTTAAATTTTATTTGCATAATAATACTAAATAACCAGGGGCCTAATTAATTTATCATGGGTTTCGGCAGGTAAACCTATTATCATATATATATATATATATATATATATATATATATATATATATATATATATATATATATATATATATATATATATATACACACTTACTATAAAGTATTTTTAAAGCATTTGCTCACTTTTTTTGCTTACCTTAATCCATACCACTTTTTTAGAATTAGAAGAAAAAACAAAGAATGATGAATGAAACGATTGCTGCCCCATCCCAAACCCTCAGTCGATGTAGCAGCACTCCACTGCGAGTCATGCTATTTGTCAGTCGATGTATATACTGAAGACCCCATCAGTAGGCTATTTCAGTATGACGTCAGATTGCTTACCTTAGTGCGCAATACTAATAGTATAAAAATATTTTTATCAGGCTTGGTCGGGAAGCGGGAGCGATTGCTCTCGATTGCTGACCATGTAAATGATATTTAGTTGCGAAAAGCTGGCCATATTTTTTAGTTGTTTTGAGAACATTTTAAAAAGCAAAAAAAAAAAAAAAAAAAAGCACAAAGATTAATTGGTCTGATGAGAGACAATTACAAAAAAAAAAAAAAACTTAGACAAATAAAATATTTTTAAACACAAAAAAACTTAAAGCTAAATAAATTACGTTTAGAACAAATATTTTGGAAACATCGCTCTTTTATAATTTTTTTAAAGAAAATTAAGCGATATTTTTTATATAAAGTAACATCTTACGATTGTTTAAAAAGGAAACAAATATTCTTTATTTAACAAAGTTTGCAAGTTTTAGTTTTATTTAAGCTAAATTATCTTATAAATAAAAAAAGTTAATTTTTTTAATACCTATTTTATGTTTCGCGTAAGTATGTTTGAAAAGTTCAACATATTTAAAGCAATTCTTCTTAGTAAGATAAACAAATGAAATTATTAAATCATTGAATTACTATATAAATTAAATTAACAAGATAAAAAATCAATTAAAAAGGTTAAAAATACTTTATGCAAGGAAGCGAAACTGCTTCACAATATCGCTGATGATGTTTAGTGAGTGGGCTTTTTAATTTTAATTAGTATTTAAAGCAGAAAAAAGTATAACGAGTGTTAAGAGTGGCAACTTAAGGGAAAATAATTTGAAATAAATAATTAGTAAACCAGTATCTAAAAACTTTTCTTTATATCTAATTATTTGCTATATATATTTGTGTTCTGTCGTGACCTCAGGCGCGGTGCTTGTTCATCCGCGAGTTACTTTGTATGCGTTGTTTGTGTTTAATAACCAGAAACTTCTTATATGTTTGTTACATAATTAGTTTTATTAACTTTAACGATTAAAAATTCATTGAAAATGCAATTATTTTTGTAAGTCTTTGTTTAAATCATAAAAATTGCTTTAAAAGATACATTACGATAAAAAACAGATACACAAAATTACATTTACATAAAGAATACATACTTTTTAAATAAAAAAATAAGAATATACTAATAGAATCTATAATTTATAATAAACTTTTAAAATTCTGACAATTTAATTAATATATATTTAATACATTTATTTTTGCAAACAAATAATATATATTCTTAAAACAATTTATGCTAGAAATCTCAAAACGTAACAAATCGTAAGTAATACAATTACTAAAACATTTCAACAGAATACTCTAGAGCTTTATTTTGCTTAGTCAGCGTATTTTTGAACCAATAGAATTAGTTTGTTCGTTAATTTGGCGGGTTTTTAGTGTTCACGAATATTTTTTTTATTCTTTCGCACCAAGATGTTTTGAGAACATTCAAGTTTTTTATGTTTCCATGTATGTCCGTAAAATGAAACCTTTTAGTTTTGTACATTAACTCAAAACGACTAAATCTTAAGAACATTATCATCAAATTTATTTACTGCAGAGAAAATATTTGCCCCTGAGTCAGTAATTAGTGCAAAAATCTTATTATTGATTGACCATTCACTGAAGATTTGTTTAACGTATTAAATAAATATTCAGCTGTTTTCATTTCAGACATAAACTTAAAATCCAGGTTTCGGTCAACTAGAGTCATATTTTTGTTAATAAAATAATAAGTCACACCGAGGTAGCTGTTTTTACCCAATGATAACCAACTATCACAAGTAATTGTAATGAAACGACATCCCTTCAATTCTAGCATTAAAATTGATTTAAGATTGTCCGTTTTTGATGCATGGCATTTTATAGCTTTTACTTAACTCCCTAAGTTTACAAAATCTGGATGATGTACTAGCGAAATTGGCTGATTGGTACCAACAATAAAATTCACCAATAACTTGTTTAATTTTTTTAGGACCAGTCAAAATAATTCTCTTTACCGCTCTCAATATCGGATATATCGTCATCGTTGAGTAAAGTTGTTGATTTTTTAGATATTTTAAAATTAATGCAATGATTAATTTATAAATGGGATTGCATTGAAATGGTCGAACTGTTGTAAGGTAAAATCTTATAACATATGCTGCATTTTTTTTTATTTATAATATTTCGAAGTAAATTTTACAATTTCGATAGTAAAAAATTGTTTTGATGCAAAATTACTTTAAAATTATTTTGAATTTACCGAAACGAAAATAGAGTTTCTAAAACTTTTTTTTTAATCAAAAATTCAACTTTGGCTTTCGTGAACAACCCTAATATTTACAATAAAATTGGAATGTGTATTCCAAATTAGGATTTTTAATTATCATCTTTATGCATAACTATATGTTAGATTATAGCAGATAAGATCACTATTTATAATAAAAACATAGGGAAAACTGGGGTAAAACGGGGTACTTAAGGAAAAAGCTATTCTAGAGTAACAAAAATTATTAAAATCAATACAAATTTACTTGAAAATAAAAGAAACAACCATGACCACATTGTAACAAAGCAAGAACATCATAGAATATCAACATTTTAATTTATTGAACTTTTAAAAAAAAAGTACTCAAATACCCTATTTTGCTGCATACTTGGAGCAAAAAAGGGTATTTGTGTAATAATGAATAATCTAGACTGATAATATTATATCCAGTTATAGCCATAGCATAAAACATATAACAATTTATATACTAAATATAATTTATTGCAAGTCATAGCTCTAAAGTCTAAAATAATATGCTAGTAGTAGTACCAGCTAGCCAATAGCACTATAAAAAAAGGATACTATAAAATTATAGGTCTATTTGCTCATTTAATTGAATAAAATTACAATTAAGCTTGAAGCATTATATGTTTATAATTACATGATTTAAAAGAATTACAAAGTCAGGGCAAAAATTGGAAAAAGTGTGGCATATTAAAATGCATTATAAAAATTTGAAACTGGGATTTTATTGTTAAACTAAAGGCCATCTATTTGTCAAAAATAAAATATTATTCAGATAAAATAGAAGCTTTAGTTCAAAGCTTTTACTATTAAGAACCAGTTTTTCAAGTCAAAAGTAAAAAAAAAATAGATGAAAAAGATGTGAAAATTTATATATTTACCTTGCAACAATAATGCTGCATGAAAAATGAACTATAGCTGAAGATGGCGTTGCCTTGTATCGTGTTTCTTAAAATCCAATCAATTTCAATAGTTTTTAAGGCTCTAAAAAGGGTGTATTTGCAAATCCCATTTCACCCCAATCCTTATTTTTACCTTAGTTTTCCCTACTGTTAAAATATGTTAAATTTTTAACTATATACTAAATTTTATTTTCCTAACATGTATAATACCAGTGTTTCCCAATGATTTTTATTTCTCAAGAAATAAAGAATTTTCTTCTTTTCCTCGAGAAATCTTTAGAATTTTGAGAATATATGACATATTTGTTTAAAAAGTTGAACAGTAAGTACAAAAATGTATATAACAAACTAGGAAAAACATTTAAGGCGAGAAATCAATAATAAAGATTATGAATCGCGTTACATTTTCGATTAGGTATCACAAAATTATTGTTACTCTCATCATTGTTCATTTTTATAACTCTATTTGAGTGCGGGTTCAAATCTTTATAATGGATCATATTTTTTATGTTTTATTCACTTAGTAGACATAGGAAAATATCAAAGTTTCAAAGTTTTTAAGTTTGGATGAAATAACTTGAAAACTTCAGTCTTTTCTAATTTCTATTAAGTAAAAGACTTTAAAATTAAAAAAAAATTATTTTTGCAGTTTCATTTTTTTACCTTTTTTTTCTTTTTTCTCATTCATCAAGATTGATCTTCATTTTTTTCAGTTAATTTTTTTTTATTAATTTTTCCTTGGTTTAATTTGGTTTTTTCAGTGCATTTTCAAAATGCGCAAATTATCAAAACATGCAAAGAGCCATGGCCAAATTTTCAAGTTCAAGTTTAATATTCTAAAGAAAACTTAAAGCTCAAAAAACAAGTTTAAATTAGGACATTTTAGGAGTATTTTTGAAACTCAATTATATTTTAGAAAAATTAAATTTTTTTAAGAGATTTTTCAAATATTATATTTTAGGAATTAATAGGAGGCGTTGCCACCCTGATATATATATATATATATATATATATATATATATATATATATATATATATATATATATATATATATATATGAATGCATGCATGCATGTATGTATGTATGTATGTATGCAGGGGTCGAAATAAGTGTCAGACATTGCCGCCCCTTGGACCATTTAACATGTAAAATGTAATTTTATTGTGTAACAAGGACAGTTCTTGACTACTTATCAACTCTGAGCTCTAGAATAAAAAACTTACGATGCATATGCAGGGTAGAGAAATCCTAAAAGTGCTACAATAAAACCAGAAGCATATCCAATAACCAAATATAAAGATAGTAGAGATACACAGCCTAAACCAAAAGCATATGATATTTGAAAAAAATTTATTTTTTATTTATTAATAGGTTATTGATTCTTATAATAAAAAATAATATATATATTTAAAAAATAATAAAAGCATAATATGATAATGATAATAATAGCAATAATAACAATAATGATAGTAATGATAATAATAATAATAATAACAACAATAATAATATATACAGCCCTTGGAACCGAAAAAAATGAGGTTGCAATAAATTGCAATCCTTCAAATGTTAGAGGTTGACAATAAAGGAGTTAACATAAAACATAGAAATGAGGTCAGTGACTTTTTGCCAACCTTAAACACTATTAGGTCAGCATTGCCAAATGCCAACCATAATTCCGAGGGCTATATATATATATATATATATATATATATATATATATATATATATATATATATATATATATATATATATATATATATATATATATAAAATATATATATATATATTATTTTATAGACAATTTTTACACTATATAAATATTGAAAGAAAAACCAATTTTAAAGGGCATAAGCACAGCAAATACAATTCGCGGAAATTTGGAAAAGTAGTTTTCCAAAATTCTGTAAATTGCATGAAGTGTTTAATATTAATATTTGCTTCAAGAAATTGCTTTTGTAAGTGTATTAAAAAACAAAATAACTTCTGATTATGTAATTAAAATAAAATAACTTCTGATTAAATAAAATAACTTCTGATTATGTCTTTAGTACAAGAAGCCAGGAGAGACAAAATATACTATTTATATAATTTCATCCAATATAAAATGGACTCATCAGGTTTAATAGCTACATGTAAAGCACAAAGAATCTTATGTTTAACCAGAAAAAGCTTTACTTATTTTAACTCTAACATGGTAAAGCAATTATGCACATTGCCGGTTAGACCACACCTGAAATTTGTAGCTCCAGTATGGAGTTAAAGTAATAAAAAAATATCAATGACCTGGAAAAAGAACAAGCAGAAAAATAGCACCTAAACTAAAACATATAAGTTATACTGAAAGATTGACAAACTTGAGTCTTGCAACACTGGAGGCAGGACGTATAAGAGATGATTTTATTGAGTTTTTCAAAATAACAACTGAAATTGACAAAATACTATGGCTTAAGGAGCTTCATAAGACTTCTTTCCAAAGTTTAAGAGGTCATTCACTAAAATTTGAAAATAAAATTGCAAAAACAACTCTGAGACAATTATTTTAGGAACAAAGCAATACCTTATTGGAATGCATTACTAGAAAAAGTAGTATCTGCAAAGACAGTTAACTTGTTTAAAGCTAGACTGCAATGCAATTGATAAACCATAAGCAAATGTAAACTATATTTTAACTAACAGCTAAAATTAAAAAAATAATAAGAAGTTAATTTGAATATAAAAAACTATGTATTTCTAGCAATCATTAATTAGCAATATTATATTGCTATTTAATGATTATTTTATAGTAAATATTATATTATATCTGTATTGCAGATTCTGTAATACTATTATATTGAATATCATAGTATTACAGATATTGCTTATTTAAATTAATATTATATTCAAATTAGTCTCTCTCTCTCTCTCTCTCTCTCTCTCTCTCTCTATATATATATATATATATATATATATATATATATATATATATATATATATATATATGTATATGTATATGTATATGTATATGTATATATCTATCTATCTATATCTATCGATCTATCTATCTATCTATGTATATATATATATATATATATATATATATATATATATATATATATATATATATATATATATATATATATATATATATATATATATATATATATATATATATATATATAATATATATATAATATATATATATATGTATATATATATATATATTTATATATATATATATATATATATATATATATATATATATATATATATATATATATATATATATATATATATATATATATATATATATATATATATATATATATATATATATATATATATATATATAGGCGGACTTGTATACGACGCACCCCCTTAAGTTTAAAACACGTTTTATCGAAAATGCTATTTTACTGACCAAATAAAATTAATTAACTTAATTATTTAAAGTGTAATTACCTCAATTGATCATAAGTGATGAATAATATTAAATGTAAATGCTTTGACTAATAAATAGGGATTAACACAACGAAATATACATTTATTATTTGACCGTAAGAATTGAGACAGTTTTGGTCACGATTATTAATATTTCATTGGGGGTGCATTGTGTACAAGTCCGCCTATATAAATATATATATATCATGCGTCATGAGACATGTGTATAGCAATCAGCACAATCGAGTTTTTATTGCAGCTATTACTATTATTGCAAAATTATTTTAAAGTACATAAAAAAACTTTTTTGAAATATTTGTATCTCTTTTATTATAATATACAACTTGAATCTTATTCTGATATTAAAATCTAAACTAATATCTCTAATATTTTATTGAAGATACACTAGTTTGCCAGATTGACTAAACATTTTTGTATGCACATATAATTTTAGAGTTCATTTTAGCAAATTAAAGATAACAATGCATTTAAAATAAAAACAAACATATGTTTTGAGGAATTTTTTTAGAAATTTGACATTAATGTAGAACAAACACAAATAATTTTTAAACTTATGTTTATGTTTCACATTCAAAATCACCATAAAATCTCATTGGAATTTGTTAAAAAAGGGAATTATAATTTTATTTTAACCACTAAAATTTTATTTTTTTTATACCTCCAAATAAAAACAATCTTGGTATTCCAGTTTTCTTCTCGAAAAAAGCTAAACTATTTGTAAAATAATTTTCTTCATTTAAAAACTCTATAACTTTTTCTTTAAGAGATTTTTCAGCCATTTTAAGTTAAACGTCGACAAAAATTGTGTCCAAACGTTTTATTTGACAATTCCAAGTTAAAGAAATAATATCAAGCGAATACCGAAAATATATTATTTCGAAATCTCAAGCTTGACACTAATAGCTTTTAATAACGGAGATAATAATTTTTTAATTGAGATTATATGTAAGTATAATAGTTTTAAAATAACCTCCTAAAGACAACAAACAATGTTCTTCAATTGTTTGTTGAACTTTAAACTTTACGTCAGGCAGCTAAATAACCATTTTATGAAGTAATACAACGTAATGTTATTTTATCGCAGGCAAAAGGGAGTATTCAGAAAATAAATTCGCCCGTCAAGGTATTATAAGTAACGCTCTAAATAACGCTATTTTTGCTTTTTTTAATCATGACTATATGTATATGCATCATTTAAAAAAAAATAAAGTTAAAATTTTTTTCAAGTAAAACTTTTGCGCAAAATTATAAATAAAGGAAATTAAAAAAATAAAAAAGATTGAAGTTTTGTTCAGAGAATTTCCGTTAACTCGAACCTTCGAGGAACAATGTGAACTGTAGTGAACGTAGTTATAAAAGAAAGCATCAATTTCAGGTTCAGTATTTTTTGATGTCTAAGATAGCTAACTTCCAGACATGGAGCAAACTAAAAAAATTAATATGTTTATACTAATGTCAAATAAAGATAAACAAAAAAGCCCTAAAACTATTTCTACACTTGTCCCAAACCAGAAAGCGAAAAGTTGATAAAAAAAATTTTATTACTACTTTCAATTGAATTTATTTTTATCGATAAATTTAAAATATTATACAATAACCTTTTAACGCTCAAAAATTATATTCGTATATAGTTTGAACATCCCCCCCCCCCACCACCTTTTCCATCATTTTGTGAGAGCAAGGGCATGGACGCGAGTAAACAAAAACCTATGTGAGCTATAATTTTTAGCGTCATTTTTCTGAATAATTTATAAAATTAAACCGACGTTTTTCCGATAATTTCGCTTTTCTAACCAATTTTTTTAAAAGGTGCAATTACCTGCAAAACTCTAACTTTTTTTAAAAATTAATGCATTTTAGTTAATCAGAAATAGCTCATCTATTTTAAAATGTCAAATTTGATACGTGAACACTTTTTAATAAGAACTTATTATTAATAAAACTTAGACGTCAAAAATCATATTTTTGTAAAAAAGTGATATTTAGTTTGCAAAAATGAATACTGCAAAGCGAAACGAACTTTCTAGATATTGTAGGTAAAACTGTAGATCATATATAAATTGAACTATAGATTACTTGTGGTCTCTATTCCCTACACTTAGTTTTCACAATTATTTTAAGAATTAATATTTCTCATTTTTGTTGGAAATTTTGTCTCGCAATTTTGTTTTGATATTTTTCTGTGATTAACTTTTTTTTTCCATGTAAAGATTTCGCTTTAGTTTATAGATCATATAATGAAAAGATTTTATTTATTTAAAAACTTCTTAGAGTTTTTAGGTGTTACGGAATGTTTAAATATATCTTTGGCTAGGCGAGACTATCGTTATTTTGACGCAAAGTCAAGTAAAAATATTCTCAAGTTAAAAATTGTTAACATCTGTTCTCTATTGTTTTGCTATTGTTATTTGTAACAATGAAAAGCGTGGATATCTTGGCTTTTAAACAATACGTTAAACGTCCATCTATTAATACGTCCTTTTTTTAATTTCAGATTTATTATATTTACTATACAAGTAAGGTAAATTAAGAGTTTCATACAAGATAAATATAAAAAATCTTGGAATTTTTTTTTTTTTTTTTTTCATCAACGTGATCATCTTGGAATATGTTTTTCAAGAATGTCCTTGAAGATATTTCTCTGCTCTTTTAAGTTCCAGTACTCAACTGCACATTTTAGAAATTGAAGATCCGTTTCAGGAATTAAATTTTTGAGGCCGACAATTTTTATTTTTTTTTACTTTCCATTATTGTCTCCAGATTTAGTTCATGATTATTGCACAACCCTTTGATACCATCTAAAAAATGTTGTGGGGCTGTTTTGTTTTTCAGCTGCGACCTAATAATATCATATGTTATTTTATTGTTCATCAAACTAATAAATAAGTTTAGCTTGTTTTGTTGTATAATAATTGATATATCTTCAATAAAAAATAAGGTATGAATATAATTTTTGCTATGTTTTGAAACATCGAGGAGTGACTTAAGTGCATTTCTTCCAACTATATCAAGCTTTTGCATTAACATTTTTTTATGTTCACATAGCTCAAGACCATACGATAGTGTTGGAACAGCTAAAGTTTGGTGAGAGTTAAAAATTTTTTTAAGCCATATTTTTTGAACTCTAAGAGATTATTTTTTTGAAATTTAAAATTTACTGATGAATATAAATTTAGTTGAGAATTGTAAAAAATTTTATCAACTTGTTGCTCTCACGTGTGGGGCAGGTGTAACAAAAGTTTAGGAATATTTTGTTCCCAAGGCTCAATGTTTTGAAAAGCATTCATATTTGACATATTTGACATAAATATACATTTTTTGAGTTTGCTCTTTGTACAGGTTGATATATTATTGTGTTTAGATTTTTAATACAAGCATTGCAATAAGTGCTAATATAATAAGCAGATATCAAATACAAATCTTGAAATCTCTCAAATCATCTTATCAAGGATTTCTTTTAAATATATTAAATTCAATGAAATTTTTAAAGTAGTTCTATCGGGAAGTAATTTATTTATAAAACAAATATGTGTAACAAAATTTGATGAATAAAAGCTATTTTGAATTTTTATCACTTTGTTGTCTACGAAAGAATTTATGGAAATGTTATATACAATTTATTTATTTCTTGTCGTGTACAAATTATTTAATGAGTTTGTCAAAACAAAATCTTTTTAATAAACGTATGTTTAAGTATTTGCAGTGCCTTAACATACTTTATCACATTTTTATTTTATTTTCTATTTTGATTTCATTAATGTCCCCATACAGGGTTAAAACGCTCCAAACTTTTATACTTTGTTCATTCAGAATTGTAAATAAATTTTTTTGGAATAGAGGAAAAATAAAGTAAAAAGCAACTTTTTTTCAATATACAAAAAAGATTGTATTTACTTTTTAATTTAAATATGCTTTAATACATTTGAACTCCGGCTTAAAATCCGTCTTTTAAAACAGCTACGCTGCAAAACGCTATTTCTGGAAAAATAAAACAATTTGAAATTTTCATCACAAGTTGTGAAGATAGCAAAATGTTTTTTTCTAAAGATTTTTTGATAAAGATTAAACAAGAGCAAGACAACTAATGATGCATTTCTAAAATACCAGATTGGAAAGTGAGTTTTAATTAGAGAATTAGAGACATTAGTAAAAGTTATAGTGTAGATTAGGGTAATGTGAGCACCTTGGTAATATGAGCATACTTAAAGATTTCTTATATGTAAGCAGTGAAGTTAAAGTTGCTTTGTATTTTTTGATACAACTTTATGTGGTGATAACAGGAATCAGTACAATTTGCGTAAATTTATATGCTGTAATTGGGGGCTATCATCTAATTTAAACTCTGTTAAATTTTTTGCGCTGTTAAAATAAAATCATCACGCATGATTAAATCTGTGGCGCGAAATTTTGGTGCTAAAATAATGAAATAGTTTTTTTTTATAAAAAAAATATGTTAGCTAAAAATCCAATCTATTTTTGTTTGAAAAACAATGCATAGAAACATTTAGTTTTGACGATGCCATTTTTGTGTAATATGAGCATGCTCAAATTACCCAGTGTTTTTAATCGAAATAATTTAGTTTAAAGTCCTAAAATAGCAGTGGTTTTAATTGCTTTTTAAATAAAAACAAAACATAGTAAAAAAATTTTATATTTTAACAATACTAAATATTTTTTCTGTAATTTAAATTCAAAAAAAAATGAATTTTTATCGTTCAAAGGTTTTAGTTAATAAAGTTAAAAAAATTGAGTTAATAAAGTTAAAAAATAACGAACAAATTTTTTGTTGTTGTTGCGGAAAACATATTATTGTTTCAACAATAAGTCAAAATTTGATCTTTTAATGATAAGATTTGTTAATAACGAATCGTTATATTCCAAAAATTAGTTCTAATTGTCAGGTTGGCATTTTTTTACTTAATTATTGTTTTTTTGGGCTAATTTAAAGTACTCGTATTACCAATTGCTTGGGTAATATGAGCACTTTTGCTACTTTTTTAAAAGTAACTCTGTGTAACTTTTTTAAAAAACTTTTTTAAAGTGGATTATGAGTAGGGATCCCTAAAAAATTTTTATTCGAAAAAATTTTGAATCCTGCATAATAGTTTTTAAAAATATTCCAATTTTTGCTTAAGGAGCTCATATTACCCTAATCTACACTTTTTAATTTGTAAAAATATCAGCTTGCAAAATGAACAGGAAGAGTCAATTCATAGTTACTTTATGTTCTAAATTATATGAAGACTTAAAATTTCAAGTATGCTTAAAATTTTAAGCATACTTGAAATTCACCAGTGCAGCCACCAATCACCAATGAAATTCATAAATCCGCTTTTCCATCTAATCTTTTAAAAATGCTTCATTATTTGCTTTGTTTTTGGGTAATCTTTGTTTAAATTTCAGTAAAAAAGATTTTTTGACGCCGGATCTATTACAACTTTTATAAAATAATAAAAAGTCGATAAGGAAATAGCTAAGATATAAACCTACACTAATGACAAACCATATTGTTCAATGAAACTTTTACAATAGCTTTCTGACTATTTTTTTTGTGTGCGTTAGCGTAATCGTATTTTTTCCTAAAAAAACATAGATTTTTTTAGTACATTTTTTCATAATATACATATACAATGTCATTTCAACTTTTCAAAAACTTTAAATATCTTATTATTATTATTGTTATTTTTATTATTGTTGTAATCATATGTTTATATTATATTAAAAAGTACAAAATGAAAAACACAAATTTAATTTGGTTTAAAAGTTACGGAACCAACAGAAAACATTGCATATCGTACGATAAAGTCTGAACTAACATTTTAGTTTATGTTAATGCTGAGTAAGAGAATAAAATAATCGCAGGAAATAGCTGATTTGTTAGTTT